TTTTCACACAGGGCCATGTAGGTTTGGATTTTTTTTCCCCTTAATAATAAAAACTTTTATTTAAAAACTGCATTTTGTGTTTACTTGTGTTATCTTTGTCTAATATTTCAATTTGTTTGATGATCTGAAACATTTCAGTGTGACAAACATGCAAAAAAAATAAGAAATCAGGAAGGGGGCAAACACTTTTTCACACCACTGTATATTGAGAAAAAACAAAGTTCAGGTGGATAGCTGCGTCACACTCCTGAAGAATGCTCCACGGCCGAAAAGTTTTTCTTTCTTCTCGTTTCAGAATTGAATAAACCTATTACTTGTTGCTTTGCAACAAATTACACAAGACAAATAGTCATTACTGAATTTCACAACCATGGTATAAATAAATACATTTTTTTTTATTTAATAGAAAATAAAAACAAACCTAATTGAATATTTTGCATGAACAGAAAGGAAGACAACACCTAAATACAAAGCCTATTAAAAATATTACAGCTCCTACATTATTACCGCAGTACCTTTGAAAACTGGTAAAATAACAATCAAACATTTCCTTTTATAAACATTTTATTGACTTGGTTACTTTACAGCATTGTTTTTGAGCACATTGATTTTTAATATTGAATAACATATATTACAGTAAGTAAACAAAACAGAGGTTTTGAGAAGTAGAACTTGAGATATTTACACAGCTGAAAATGAAGTACTGCAGTACATAACATTTGTTTTTAAATAAAACTGCAAACTCCATCACCCCAAATAACTATTGTTTACAATGTGATTCCTAGTGGAATATTGACTTCAATAAACAGAATAATAATAAAAAGACAATTGAAAAGGCAGATCTCGTGACTATTAATATAGTTCACATGATTTTGAAGACCGGTTCTCCAGAGTCAATTTCTAAAACATTAAGGGGCAACTGCATTCCTTGCAGAACAAATACCTCTCTAAAATATATTACAGTCAAATTACCTTAAAAAACAATCATATCAGAAAATAGATGTTAATACTAAAACAACTGGCAGACCTGCAGTACTCTGGCCTATGGAGTGTCTCATCTTGCTGTAAAAAGCCATCTCATTGTGAAAATACTGCATAACACGGAGACACATCATGTTACTATACTCAGCTGTTTCAATTTACTGTTTAAAACTTCAGCTCTCTTCCTCCATTCGGAGAATTCTCTTAGCATTTGCTGCACATTTATAACATTATTAGATGTCAGAAATGATTATTTGAAACTTTCTTTTCCAGAATATAGAAAAATAACGTTTGAGTATGTTTTTTACAATATGAGTAATTTTGGTTTTACCACAGTGCCGTGGGATGTATGATGAATATCTAAAATACAATCAAATGATAAAAAATCCACTAAATCAACAACAGCAAAAATAGCTGGTGTGTTTTCTGGAGCAAGAAAATTCATATACAGTACTTGAGGTTTTCGGCCACAGATTAAGTTGCTATTTTTCTGGAAACAGGTTGATCAAAGATGATGCTGTGTTAAAAATCTTCAATGTTACAATTAATTTAACTGATTTCTGAAACCAGGAGTAAAACAGAGCATAAATAATGGGATTGATAGAAGAATCAAAAAACATCAGCCAACACAGAAAATTAATAACTACAGAAGAAGAAGAAATATTAACTTTTTCATAAACAATACTGCAGATATAATATGGCACCAAACACAAGAGAAAAACAAAAACTACAATCCCTAATGTTTTAGCAGCTTTTCTTTCAGACGTTGTAGTTAGTTTACTTTTTTTTTCATTTGCAGAATTATCGTGTGCTGTAACACAGTTGATTAATTTTGCATGTCTTCTAGCTACTACAAAAATGTTCACATAGAGGGCAACCATTACAGAACAAGGCAGGATAAATACAATTATTAAATCTACTATTCCCCATATTTCACTCATTACAAACAAACAGTCTCCTAGACAAGTATTGAGTTCAGCACTACTAATATTTCCATTAAAATAAACAAGAGCCAAATTGTATAGCAGTGAAAAAAACCAATTAAATAAAATAATTGACCATGTTATGTTAGTTATTAGTTTAGTAGAATAAATGAAGGGGTAACAAACAGCAAAATAACGATCAATCGATATGCATGCAACATTATTAACAGAAACAGAAGTGAGCACAGAGTGAAATGTTTTGTAAATAATGCAAAATATGTCTCCAAAATACCAACATGTTTCTATTAGCACGATTAATTGGAAAGGCATCACAATTATTCCTATTAGTAAGTCTGCTACAGCCAGAGAGAGCACGAGGAAGTTAGTTGGTGTGTGGAGCTGCTTGAAGTGAGAGATAGAGATGATCACCACCAGGTTTCCACACACTGTCAGCATCATCACTGCCACTGCAGAAATATACATCACTACATACACAGCTGGAGATCGCACTTCCTTAGTACAGGATGAGTTGTAAGTCTGAAAACAATACTGCACTGGTTCAAATTCTGTAACTTCCATTGAAATGTATAATAATGTTTACTTATGTATACTTAAAATATCATAATTCAAATATTAAAAAAACATTAATAATTAGAACAGCACTGATATCTTTGACTTCTACCAGCGTCTGTAAAACATTTCATGTTAGTATGACATTTATATAAATTCTTACTGGCCCCTCCTGGTGCTAGTAAGCGTGGATGAGTGTTCTGTTTTTCTAATGACACCTGTTGTCCTGGGGTTATGTGTGGAGCCTAGAGTGCAGCCCACATCCTCAGAGTGCAGTGAGATTAAACATAAAAAGACTATAAACAAGATGGAACTTTACGCTAAACCATATATTATAAAATACATTAAATAGGGTATCTGAATTAATGAAGGAAAAAGATAATTATGTGTTATGAAGTGAACCTATAGATACAATGGGGAACCATGTTTGTGTCAACAGCTTCAAATCAAGGGGATGTTTGGTGAGATGTAGTGGATCTAAGTATTTAAACCTTGTTAAGAGAGCTTGCTATTCTGTGGTTTTAGGGAACTCTGATTTCCTGTATAAAGAATCAAAGAATCTACCAGTTACAAATGGCTTTTCCCAGTAAGAAGATATATTTTTAGAATAGGGAGATTCATTCATTTGGTGGCTTCTGGGTTCAGAGAGAGATTTAACTGCAGGTCGTATTCTATTTAGGTCAGAAGCCAGCTTCTCTTATTTTGGCTCTTGTAGTCATTGTACAAGAGTTTGAACTCTTGGTAACAGTCTGTTTTTTTTAGTAGTTAGGATGTTAGGCCTCTGGGACACCTGTGTGAAAGTTTGTACATAGTGTAACTTGTGTGTTGTACAGATCCAGCCATTCAGAATGCGCAGGGGATAGTGCAGTAGTTTGCAGTTCAATGTCTGCGGTGTAACGTAGTTTTTTTAAATACTCAGTTGTTGGGCTGTGCTACTTTGTAAAACCACCAGGTAGAACAGCGAAAGCTTAATTTGGCGTGGAGCATTTGGGCTGTCACCAGAAAATGCCTGGTTTCAAATCGCGGTCATTGCTGAGGGAGAATCTTTTTCCAATTACAGAATTGAAGTTGTATACTGTTTAGACGTTTAATCATTTTAAACTGTGTATTACAGCATGTTAAATATTAAACTGATTAAACAGTAGGTATATTTTATGCAAGCAGGTTTGTTCAGTTGGATATATAAAAATAGTTTATTACTATACTGTAGTTTGTGAATGTGATGTGCCTCTTTCAAGTTCACATCCACATAGAAAAAATCTAAAGGTACATTTTGGTAGCTGAGAATAAAAACAGTAGTATAACATAATACATACCTAATGTACACACAGTAGATGGCAGTGGTAGCTAAATATAAAAAAGTACACAACAGTATTCTACCTTCTCTATAAATATTTTTAACTTGGTGAATTACAGTGTGTTATGGTTTTAACGCGCTTATTCTAACATTATAAAGTTTATGTACTGTACTTCATAAAAAGTTATAACGTTTTATCGTTTTATAAGAATACCTAGTGAGAACACAACTTGGTGTTATTGTAAAAGAAAGTTGTACTGATTTAATACCATTTGATAGTAATATTAATTTGGAATAGTGTAACTAAGCAGCTAAAATATCACAAGCGGATGTTTTGGAAACATTTGACATACCCCTCTATGAGAACATGAATTTGAATTGAACATTTAAATACTGTGATATATAAAATTAATACCCTGATACAACTAGCTAAATACATATATTTATATCAATAAATTAATATTGTTAACCGTGCTCATAAATGTATTGGTAGCAAATTAAAAAAACATTAAGCTTCATATTTCGGAAACATCATGATTGTTACACAGGGAAGTGAAACATGACAATTTTTTACATTTATGATCAGAAGAAAAAAAAAGTTTAATTTTTATTTATTTGTGGCTGCTGTGTGGTGTGAAGAATACAAATTCAATTGCAGCTTAAACCTTCCCACACACACCCCCACTGCGATTAGGATATACACAAAGAAAGCACTGAAAGCTTTATATCCAGGTGGATGCTGCACATTGGTGGTGGTGGAGGGGATCCCCATTACCTGTAAAGTGCTTTGAGTGGAGTGTCCAGAAAAGTACTATATAAGTGTAAGCAATTATTATTATTATTATTATATGGTCAGGTGTTTTGCATACTGTACGTACTGTAGGAATAGTAATTCTCGCATTATGAACTTGCTTACACCTACTGTATAGTCATTTTGTAATTTTGTAAAAAAAATTCTCCTCCTATGGCAGGATTCTCACATTTGCTACTTCTCCATCAATGCAAAAAGGTTTATGCGCCCTGCTTTTCACTGTAAGGACATGCTTTTGAATCCCACAATTTATATATTTTACTTATTAAAAACTACTATGAATCAAAGATTGTTTTAAATTAAATTAAATTCTGATAAATTGTATTTTATTATTTAAACCAATTGCAATTGAGGTTCATCAGTGTTATTACTATATTTATCATTAATATTAATTTAATATTTAACAAGCTGTGGTTTTAATAATGAACAAAAATGTCAATATGTAGTATACATTTTATTTAATATATTTATTTTAAAGACAGTCTTTATTATCCTGAATGGGGTTAATTTGCCAAGGCAACTACAGCTTGCACAATGGCCAGGAGTCCAGGGTTCCTGTCTAGCGGCCAAGAATTCTACCACTGCATCACCCATGCATTACTTAATGTCTGGGGTATTGGGTAATGTAGTTTCTTCATGTATTTAGAGCCACAAGCCAAAATTAGAAACTGCAAGCATTGTTTAGTAATGGATTCATTTGAGAGCTACACGCGAGACGTCACCATGGAACTGCGCCATCTTAAGATCCATTTTCTATTAAGTTCATTTTCCATGACACTACAATGAAACATTATATTTACTTCTAGTAGGGAGCTGCGTCAGCATGCGTAGGCTGCAAAGGAACGAGTAAAGGTTTATTCCATGCTGAAAAGAGAAGAACAGAAACACAACGTTTCGGCTGTGGAGCCTTCTTGAGGTTTGTCACACCTGAATATGGATATTTTGCACCCAAGAGGTATTAAGACTCCACAGGCTTCCTGCTTCCATAGTTTCTGATCAGGGCCTCCAATTCATTCCTAGGTTCTGGTGAGCGTTTTGCAATAAACTGGGCATTCAGAATGACCTGTCTTCAGGGTGTCATCCTGAGACAAATGGTCAAACTGAGAGAGCAAACCAACACCTGGAAACATCCCTGAGGTGTTCTGTCTCCTCCATCCAGGATGACTGGGCCATCCATCTCCCAAATCAAAAACCTCCTCTGGAACACTTCCGCTGATATGAATATTTTTTTGTATATTTTTTGTGTCTTTTCTTTTTCTTTTGCTGTGGTGTTTCCCACCTCATCACTGCCTGAGATAGATAGATAATACTTTATTAATCCCGTAGGGGAATTGATGAAAGCAGAGCTCACCTGCTTGTGAGCTCTCAGTCAAAAGAGGCTATTTTTTTAACTTGCGTATACTTGTGTATACATATGCATAGTTTTAAAGTAATATAAACTGGTGGTACTGTCCCAGAATCAATGTTAATTAAATTCTAGAAAGAAATATTTTGAAAATTCAGAACATTTGTCTCTACCACTGTCGCATGACAATGATAACTAATATCAGGACTTTACCTTTCTTTGTCCAAGACATCGGCCCAGGTGGAGGAAAGCAAAGCCAGTGTCTGCTGTGCTGCATTTGTGCTGCTTCGTAGTTACTGTCAAAATAACTTCTGTGCTCCTTTCGTTTCAGGGGTAAAAAAAATTATTTAGGGCTGTGACTTCCTTCAGCTTCTGTTTCATGTATTTGTGAAGATTTGTGCCACTGAAATGAGGATTTTGTGCATTAGTTTCAAAGATGTAATGCTATGTATTTTTGGGATGTAACAGGGAAGTGTGACATCTTGAGAAGTGAATTTAAAATTGAGAACATGGGGCATCTCATTACAACGGGCCCTGTCAAGATGACCGACAGTAAGACCGGCAGGTAAGGAACCAGTTGTTGTATGTATAACAGTGGTGCAATGCACTGCTTGTCACTGATCACTACAAGTGAAATCCTGCAGAAAAAGCACCCTCTAGTATAATTTTGCATCTCCTACATCTCCCTTTTGATGGGAGAAACTCCTAGTCACCTAGATGTTGTTCTGTCCTGACAACCTCCATTTGCCTTGAAATTACTGGCTGTGAAGACCCCAGACAGCGAGCAACACTGCAGCCCCCAACACATGGAATGGCATTGTTCTGTGTTGATAGATGGGGAAAATATCTTTATATTTATATGTTAAGGTATTTTTCTTTCTTAGGTTACACAAGGCTTGACATTTCACAGTTTAAATCACCTGTCAACATCAATGAGATTTAGTACTTCAGCAGTCAGTTACACGTGCTTCATGGTTTGGCATAAATGTTAAGTTTAATAAAATCTACCAGTTGAAAATATTTTCTACAAATATATATAGTGATAAAACTGATTTTATCAAGAGTAAGATCGACATAGGAATTAATCATAAAATTAATAGTTTACAGAGAATATTAATAAATAAAGTGTGAACATCATGACAAATGAATTATTTTATGATTTAATTGGCCTTCCCTTAAAATTCTAAAACCAAATGAAAATTTATAATGATATTTAGGATATTTAATTAAATGAAAATGAAAGAACATACCATTAGAAGAAAACATTATTCCATTACATTTGCAAAACTCTTTTTCTGGTTCATATATTATTTTCACTTTATTTAGCATGTATGAATAATGGTCATAAACAAAGAAATACATTTACATGAAACAAAGTGACATTTAGTATGCATGCAAAATTCATTGATTTTCAGGGAACGGATTGATTAGATTGGATGCTCAATAACATATCCTGAATTTTAATATTTCTTTCACTGACTTTTGAAACCAGGGGTAAAACAAAACATCAATAATAGGATTCACTGCAGAGCTTGTATTTATAACAAAAATTAATG